AATTTGGGATAGAGCCCAGTGCTCTGAACACCGATTTAACAAGGGAAGACATCATCTCAACTCTTCTACAACTAGTCTCTTTAGGAACTCTACAATAACTCCACACATGTAAAGACTAACTTGAAATAAGAGCAAATTCTGTCTGTTCCATTATCCCACATTCTAATTCTAGATGGGCAAGCCCTAATGCAAAACCATAAGGAATATGAAAAACCAAGACAGCATACCTCCTTTAAAAATGACCTCTCAAGAAGCTCTACATAGCTTTTTCGGGGTACATCTTCCTGGTCTGAGGGTTCCTCTGCTTCACTCCACTTTCACTCTTCCCTTTTATCTTATTTAACCCCCAGGAGATGTCCCTCCCGTAGCAAGGACGTTTTATTATACCACAGTGTGATGGATAGTTTCCTTGTCATTGGCACTTAGGACACCTCAGTGTCAGGAACAACTTCTTTCTGGTCCATTCTCTGGTTTCTGGAACTTAGAACAATGCCTGTAATATGCAGTAAGGAAACAAGTATATTTTCTCAGTAAATTCATTACTATTTCTCTACTTTGTTCTTCTTTTCCTTTCTTTCTTTCTTTTTTTTTTGGTTTTTTTTTTTTTGTTTGTTTGTTTGTTTTGAGACAGGCTTTTTCCTGGCTGTTCTGCTGGCTTCAAACTCTCAGAGATCTGCCTCCCAAGTGCTGGCATTAAAGGTGTGTGTGTGCCACCACTGCCTGGCCACTATTTCTCCTCTTTTAAGTATCCCCTCTATTTTCTACACAAAAGGTTGCAACATCCTATCTTTGATTTGTTGTGATTTCCCTCTGGTCGCTCACCACCTCTGTGCTGTTCAATGTCTCCATCTCTGTGGCATCCTGCCTTCTGTCTCTGTGCCTTTTCTCACTTTGCGTCTGGAGAGCTACACTCTATGTCTTCTCTCCTCTTGTGATCTGGAAATTGTTGCTCTTCTTTTACTAATCAACTCAAGTTTTCCTAGAAATCCCTTTGGACTGATATCAGTGTATTTCTTCTTAATAATTTACTCTATTCCTTATTTATGTATCTCATAGCAATCATCATATTATCCTGGGATTGTTTCTGTGTCCTTTTCAGCAACAAGCTATCACTTAAGTATCAAAATCAGTTTTGGGGATGGTGATGGTAGTGGCAACTGGTTTTATTAGGTAGTGCTGGCTGGTTTGAAACTTGCCAAATAGACCAAGCTGGCTTCAAATTTGCAGCAATCCTGTTTGCTTCCCTAGTGCTGGGATTACAGGCAGAAGCCACCACAGGCCCAAATTATCTCTTAGTTTTTGTAGACCTGGACCTCATCATAGTATTTAGTTAATAGTAGAAATGTGAAACAAATTAATTATAATATTTTTTCCGACTAGCCTGACTCTAAGTAAATTTTCATAAGTATTCTTGCAAAAACCCTGCTCATTAGATACTAATTACTAACGTAATTACTTGTAGAGCTTAGAAAGGTTAAATAACTTGTCTAAAGGTATGCTGGTAATAATTGGTGGAATAAAAGTTTGAACTCAGGTAATTTGGCTCAGAGGTCAGGCAGAAGACAGAGAGGAGAGGGAGGGAAGAGGGAGAAGGAGGGGAGGAGGAGAGAAAAAGGGGGAGCGAGGGTGGGCAACATGAATATTATAGGCTTGCAAATAGTTGCATATATGACTGAGGACAGATTTATGGAACGGGTAGTAGAATTATGTTAGGAAGAGTTGGTTGAGGCTAAACTACTGATATCCTAGTATATCATGATAAAGCTTAAAGATTCTCTTTTATGGCTAATGTTTTAAGATTTAAGCTTTAGAATTCTAGAAAGGAATTTCTGACTGTGTGTAATGGGAATTCTGGTAAAGATAAAGGAGACAACTGGGCAGCTGTGATAGCAAAAACTAGTCAGATAATTCACTCAGTAGCATTTATTATGTATGATGAACTAAGTTGATATTTGGAAATAATCTATCAAAATATCCTATATCAAGCATATATAATCCACATGTGTATACCATAGAGCAGTAATTCATAGTGTGAACTAATATGCTATCATTTTTGTGTCTCTTACTATAATTCTATAACATTTAGATATAAAATTAGACACACCCAAGTTTACTGTTTGCCAAACCCTCCCTCCTCGGGTGATCCTAATTTCCTCTCTCAGACCTAAAACTTAAGACTTTTATGTTGGTAAGTGGATGTGAAACTTAGCCTAGGGAGTTTTAATGGCATAAGGAGAAGAAAGCAGTGTCCAGCACCTGAAATGGTAACTGAGTGGCTCATCTGTCACCAAGCTCTGCATCCTATTATTTTTTTAAACAATGTTGCTAGGCCACATAGCAATTCCTGGATAATGTCCTTTTTTTTTTCTAAATACACATCAAGTGGACCCCCATTTGTACCTGACCCTTTTGTGACATCTGTTGTTTTTTTTCTTCCTTTATTTCAGCTGGATTCCTACTGAGAAAGTTCTAGAAGAGTCACAAAGAAATCCTATTTATGCTCATTATAATGCATTGTGTCTTGGTAGTACTAACATTTTCTTTTTCTCTTATTTGGAACTTTGAGACATGGGAATTAAACAGGGTTTGAGAGAGGTTAATGATATCATTAATGGTATCATTTGAGTGGTATAAGCACTGTACTATTGCCATTTTGATAATATTAACCAGACTATAGTGGTTGCCTGCTATGTGTTAGTCCTGTGCTAAGTATTCTGCACACACGATTGGTAATAAATACATTAATACTAAGGTATGCTGGCTTCCTTTAAAGATGGGAAAGCTGAAGCCAACAGATCGAGTGACATTCACCAGGTCGCACAGTTGGTTAGTGACAGAACCTGGATTCAACTTCTGGTTCGTCTGAATCTAAATTCTATACTTGAATGTTTGTTTTTAATCATCAATGTTGTAATATTTTAGGGGTATGTAACTAAACAGCAGCAAAAATAGAGCAAAAGATCAAGGCTACTGGGTTTCTATTTTTGAATATCATGAAATTTCATTTTAGGCTTCAAAAATTTGAAATGGGATGTCAGGCAAATTTGTTAAAATTCTAAATGGGACATTTTAAATGTTTCAAATGGAGAATTGATAGTCTTGTTTCTAATTCGTGGTCATCAAGAATGAGTTTTCTGTCTCTAGCTTTAAGACAAAATTGGCTGCAGCATTGGCGAGATGTCGAATCAAGCATGATGCCCTTTCCATTTACCACATTCTACCAGAGACAGTCAGGAAACAGGAGCAGAGGGCCTCTACCCTGCCTCTTTATGCTTGGATAAACACTGGTAAAATCAGGTGTGTGCCTCAATCCAATTCTTCGTTCATATTTCAAAACCCCATTCTTTTAAGATAATGTAATAAATACTTCCTTTCTAAGGGGTGAGGTCACATTCAGGGAAATGATTAAAGTCACTGTTTAACTTTAGCTCTTACCATCAATTGACAAAATTATATTATGGTAAAATTGTTTTATCACATGCAATGTGTATAGTGAAATTTTTTTCTTGCAGGAAAAAAGTATTAGTGTTAAACATGTTTTATGCATTCTATTTGTAATTCTGTTTGTATGTACAGCCCTGAAGAAGTTTATAGTAACTTGAGGAGAAAAGGTTATAACAAAGTCAAGTCTGTGTTGCATCTCGAAGATAAAGTCTTTGCTGTGGATCAGCATTGCTATGATGTCTTAATTTTTCCATCTCATCTCAAAAAAGATCTTGTAAACATAGATCTTTTCAAAGAGTATAAACTTATTTTTCAGGTAAGTTACTGATTCCCTTCACTGTCAATCTGAATAGTCCTGCTTACCCAAAGAACCCTCGCACCTGCAAAAGAATTTAACATGCGTTAGAGCGCTCTGAGGTTTCTCCGTCCCACACCTATATTCTTTGGTTTGGTTTTCTCGAGGCAGGCTACTCTGAACTCTTTATCTTGCCCAGGCTAACCTCAAACTCATGGCATTCCTCCAGCGTCGGCCTCCCAAGTGCTGGGATTATGGGTTTAAACCATTATGCCCACTGCCACACGCGTGTCCTTGGATAGATTCTCGTCGTTTCTGTCCAGTCTCCTTGTATCATTTTCTCAAACATCTCGGCTTTCTCTGAGCTGGCAGCAGTTTAGATGGTAGTGCCATTGGGAATTAAAGATGGTAGTAGAGGGTGAGTGGGGTTTAATGAAGGGGTAAGAATGGAAGCTAAGGGACTGGAGAGATGAAGGCCCATGGCTTGACAGAGCACCAACATCAAGCTCCTTACAACTGCCTCTAACTCTGGCTCCAGAGGACCTGGCGCCACCTTCTGGCCTCTGTAGGCACTGCATTCATGTGCACAGATCCACACACAGCCACACAATTAGAAACATTCACAGCACAAAAGAATGGAAGCCAAGCCATAACAATCTATATATCATATTTTGACAATTTTAGGATTGACTTGTCACTGTACAGAAGATAAATGGTAGACATAATTTAGGTTAAATGATTAAGTCTTTTGTTTTAAATGTATTTATCAGTTATCATCGTTAACTTTTACTTCATCATATAGTTAAGATGCTTTACTAAAATGGATCAAGGTATCTTTTCAGAATTCCTACCAGTGTTTATTTTCTTTGAAAGTAAAAATAAGTCAACTTATTTTCATGTTACTTTGAAATTCTAACCATACTATTTTCTGTAGGACAAATCTCGAAGTCTTGCCGTTCACTCTGTAAAAGCTTTATTAAATATGGATGATGATATCTTAATGGTCAACACGGGCTCATGGTACACAGTCGCCCATATGTCAATCTTAACAAACAATAATACCTCAAAAATATTTGTATGTGGAATACAATCACAAGATAAAGATCCTGAACTGCAGAAACTTTTTACAAAAATGGGATGTCAAAGTATGTGCAAATATTATTTGATGATTATTGTTCTAAACATTTAGGAATATTAAAAGTGTTTGAATTTGCTATGTTTTTGTAATATAAACTATATGTGAACTGTTCTACAATCCTCAAAAGTCTTCATTAGTCTATCTGTGTTTAATATTGGGCTAATAGCTCTAGGTTAAAGTAATTAGCACATAGGTATTTTTCGATTGAGCTCGTTTTTCTCTCTGACATAGTAACATCTGATTCAAGGTTTATCACTTAATATATAACAGGACATTAACACAGATACCTAATCGACAGAGGGAACACCAGGGAATAGAAGTGGATCCTTTTATGCTCCTATTTTTGATGTTCTCATTAGATCATGAGAAGACCACACTTTACTAGAGGTGCAGTGAGGTTGAGATAGTCAGCACAATGACACAGAGCCAGAGAAACAGAAAGTATATAAGTCCAGGCTTGACTAGGAAAGGCAGCCTGGAAATCCTGGATTTCATCTGGAGCACAGAAGTATACTCTGGTATTGGTCAGTCCTGAATGTCTTCCATCTTCATTTCTAACAGAATTAAGGTGACCTTGGATTTACAGTAAACAGTCTTCAGTGGGTCCACTCTACTTGCTAAAAGCAAAAGTAACTTCTTTCTGAAAAAAAAACCCCAAGTTTCAAGTTATCTCCTAAATAATTCCAAATTCAATGTCTAGAGCTCAGTCAAAAATAGACAAAAAGAAGGAAATATATGACTCAAAAATACTAAACTGAAAAGAAAGAGTCTATATTGCTTTAGCCCTGAACCTGAGAAATGATGGCTATGACTCTGAGAGGACACTAGACAGGAATGAGACTCACAGAGAAGTTAGATATTGATCTGTCGGCTGTGGACTTTAACTAGGACCAATGGTTAAGAGCTGCTTGGCTATGCTAAGCAGCCTGTGTAAGCTAAGTTAATACTGTAGGCATCACAGCATAGCTGCTGAAAGCAAAGAAAGCATAGTTAGCAGCCTGGCTTCCCATCAGTAACCGAAGAGACCAATGTAAGCTATAAACTTTAAACAACAGTGGATACATAACACCAAGGGGCCGGCAGAGTCTCGACAAGGCCTGCATATACAGTGCTTCTGTTCTGACTAAGGCAACACGGCAGAATGCTGAAGAATAGGTGGTCTTGTAGGTAAACTATGCGAGAAAGAAAGCTGATATTTCATTTCATGTGTACATCTAGAGTTTCCCTGGATAGGTTATAGGAAAAGTACTTCATAAGCTGGGGAGTTCACGTAAGAGTTCTTCAAAGGAATATAGAACACATGATCACAAAAGATTTATTAACTGGACATCAGGAAATATTAAAAGTTCTGTGTAGAAATAAAATGATCAGTTATAGAAAAAGCATATCAATTGATTTTACCAATAATGTACAAAAATTCTTGCGAATTATATGAAAACTACATGCTTCAGGCTGGAAAGAAGACTCCTTGGGTAAAAACAAAACAAAACAAACCACAAAAACCAAACAAACAAAAAAAACCACCTTGATGTGTAAATCTGATGATTTGAGTTCAATCTCTGGACCCTCATAAAGGTAGAAACAGATAGCCAAAGCCCTTAAACAAGTTGTCTTCTGATGGCCAGGTGTGCATATGTACACACACAAAAAATGATAATAAGAATAGTAATGGTAATCCCATATCTCAATAAGAAAAAGTGCAAGAGACATAATCATATATTACACAAAAAAGAATATGCCCAGAGCAAAAACAAAAGAAAAATTAAAAGTTATAAACCCTAATGGTAATCAGGGAATTGTAATTAGAATTACAATGTTGCAACTACACGCTTATAAAATGACTAAAATAGAAAAGATTGGAAACACCATGTATTAACAAGAAAAACAAAGCATGAGAAATGTTCCAATACCACCAATGGGACTGTAAATTTAAGTAACCAGTTTGGAAAAACTAGTTATTTACCAAAGACGCATATACAGCGGTAGTGACATCTAGAACTGCAGGTCTGTGTAGATTACCACCCTGTGATGTACAACATTATTCACAGAAACATTATCTATTTTCTAATGAAATACTGGAGGCAGAATAACTCGTAAAAGTGGGTTGTTGAGCTCCTGGTCCTGGATGTTCAAGAGTATGATGGCCCTAGCTCCTGTTGGCCCCGTCGAGGCCTCTGTCTAGCATGGCAGCTGGCAGAATTATGGGACCTTGCACAAGAAGAGAACACATGGTGAGAATAGGAAGCCAGAGACCAGAGAAAATCAGTCATGTTGTCTTAAAGTAGTATACTCTCATGGGGACTAACTCACTCAATAAGACCCTCATTAGTTCCTTCTGGGGGCAGCATCCAAAAACATGTAATTACCTGCCATGAGCTTCATCTCCTGGAGATTCCATTTTTTCCCTTATACACTGCCACAAACCAAGCTTCTAACACATAAACTTGTTGGTGACAGACTACAACTAAACTATAACATGTTATTTTCCATAGCCTCAAAATAGAAACAACTTCAGTATCTATATAATGGAATTTTACACAGAATAAACTATTACCATACCTAACAACATGAATGACTCTTACCAATGTAATATTCTTCTTCTAACTAATATGGAATAGATACTAATTTTTAAAACAAGTAGTGCTAGTGAGACTTAGAGGAGCAATATTAATAATAAGAATTATCTACAAAATTTTTAATGATTTATTCAATAAATATTTATTGATATATGTTACATATCTATCTGTCTATCACTGTCTTAGAGGTCATGACATTAATTTTCTGTTTTGTGAATATAGCAGTGAAATGAAGTTTCACTCATGAAACTTACATTACAGTATGAGAAGGATAAATGCTCGAAAAGTGTGTGCGCGCACACACACACACATACACACACACACACACACACACACACACAATCAGGCAGTCCTTAAACCCTTGACCTTCCTGCCTCATACTTCCAAATGTTAGGATTACAGGCTGTATACTCGCAGTCCAATCTACTTGAGGCAATTCTTTAACTGATAGTCCCCTTCCTGGTGACTCTAGGTTGTGCCAAGTTGACAATAAAAACTAGCAACACACAGACATACACACACACCCCTCATAGAGCAGTCAGGATAGATAAACAATATTTACAAATAAGTATTTGATAGAAGGTATTTCTGGCTGAAGAGTTGGCTCAGTGGTAAAAACATTAGTTGCTTTTACAGAAGACCCAGGTTTGATATCTGGTACCTACATGGTGGGTTACAACCCTCTGCAACTCCAGTCTGAGGAGATCTAACATCCTCTTCTGACCTCTGTGGGAAACAGGCATGTATGTGCTGCACAGGCGTACATGGAGGCAAAACACTCATATGCATAAGTCTATTTTTTAATAAAAAGGAGCAAGAGAGTTGACTTTGTGGTTAAGAACATGTACTGCACTTGCCAAAGACCTGAGCAGTTCTGACCACCCAAGCTGGGCTACTTACACCAGCCTATAATCTCAGCCACACACATGACATGCCACACACATCTGCATAGTCAAACTCAACCATACACATCCACATACACATCTGCATAGTCAAACTCAATCTAAAAAAAGAATATCACTTGATTACCTGTGGGATGTTACTAGGCTGATAGAGAAGAAGAGTTTCTTTTCTTTTTCTTTTTTTTTCAAGTCAGGGTTTCTCTGTGGCTTTGGAGAGAAGGTCCTGGAACTAACTCTTATAGACCAGGCTGGTCTCGAACTCACAGAGATCCACCTGTCTCTGCCTCCCAAGTGCTGGAATTAAAGGCATGCGCCACCACTATCCAGCTCTTCTTTTCTTTTTTCTTTCCCTACCTTTTTTTTTTTTTTTTTTTTGAGACAGGGTTTCTCTGTAGTTTTGGAGCCTGTCCTGGAACTCACTTTGTAGACCAGGCTGGTTTTGAACTCACAGAGATCCACCTGTGTCTGCCCCCGGGAGTGCTGGAATAAAGGCATGGGCCACCAGTTTCCTCTTCTAGTTACATTGTGTTTAATTTTTGTGTGGCTGAGGATTTGGGAATGAATAGTAATATGCTACAGTCAAATGCTGCATTCAGTTTTTAATGTTTAACATGAGTTTTGTTGCTACTTTTCCTTTCCAGATATTGAAATTCTTCAGGAGACATTTGTCAGCATCGAATCAAAGGACCATAGGCTACAGAACGTCAAGGTCATTCTGCTGTTGCCTCGCTGTTCAGGACTAGGTGTTAGTAACCCAGTGGAATTTATCTTAAATGAACATGAAGGTTGGTGCTATGATTTCTAAAGTAATGAAACTATAGCTCATCGATTTCAGCATCGGAGAATAAATCTTAGTTTTTATTTTCTGTATTGCTCTTCAAATTAGTTTTATTTAGTGTGTAAATGACTTATGTATAGCTCTTTGAATGACTACTTCATAGAAACTTGGAGAAAGCTAATATTAAGCGTTTTTCTATATTCCTTTTGAAAAGCAGTAGTAAAACTAGACCACATTACCTTTATTAACATTTCAATTTCAAGCCAATATTTTAATATTATCAATTACACTAATAGGAATTTTCTATGAAAATTCATTTTAGACAATTGACTGAAAAATAACGTGACAACGGCAATATATAAAAGGTACCTATAGTGCTGCATTTAAAAGTATACATTTACTTTTCAAAATTTAGATACAAGTTTACTTCAAGATCTTTCTCAAGGTGGCCCACCAAAAGGTAAACTTGAGATTCTTGCTCAGCAGCAGTATGAACAGCTGGCACACGCAATGAAATGTAAGTTCACCATTAGCCCTGGCTTATTAAAGCACAGGGTTAACCTCTGAGCCACGCACACGCTTCATGTATCTATTAGAACAAAACAACGATATGTGGACCACAAGCAAAATTTCAGTCTTAGTGTCTTCAAATAAAATGCACATTTAATACATTTAGTAAGTTTTAAGGCCGGGCGTTGGTGGCGCACGCCTTTAATCCCAGCACTCGGGAGGCAGAGGCAGGTGGATCTTTGTGAGTTCGAGGCCAGCCTGGTCTACAAAGTGAGTTCCAGGACAGCCTCCAAAGCCACAGAGAAACCCTGTCTCGAAAAACCAAAAAAAAAAAAAATACATTTAGTAAGTTTTAAGAATATATGCTTTACTATCATCTTCCGGTCTGTCTTCCTCCCCCACTCTGTGCTCACTGGAACAGAATGAACAGGAATCCCCCATATTGTGGCTTCTCAGAGTTCAGAGGTGGGAAATGGAAGTTCGGCAGCACCCCTCCCCCACTGTCATTTCAGTTAACGACAGTATCAATAGAGTTCCAAGAAAGTTGTCATTCTATATACACTGGGAAGTAGCCTCCTCCCATCTTTGCTATGTCCACATGAACACCGTACACTGCAAGAACCGGATGGCCTGAATTTGTCTGCCTACTTCCACCTCTGGCTGCTACAGTCTCAACACAGGGGAATGAAATTGTTAAATCAATGGGTTTCAAGCAGTGCAAAGACCACAGTCTGTGTAGTGGTCTAAATCTCTCTGTACAGAAAGTGCTCTTAAATGCTGAGCCATCTCTCCATCCCAGACTACATTTTCTAACTTCATTGCCTACCCCTCTCCTCCTCACTCCCTGGAGCCTTTTTGCTTTTCATTGATGATCTCAAAGCTTAGGTGCTCAATCAGTATGAATGAATGAGTGAATTACAGGTCAGTAATTCCCTTGTAGTATGGTGAGATCTGAGAGAGCAGCAAGAAACAGAATTACAATTCCCACCAATGTCTGTCTATATCTAAAGTCCCTTAAACTCTGTGATATGATTATGGGCTGTGTTTATTTCTTTGTGTGTAAAACTAGGTTGATCACAGTGAACATGTTCTTATTTCTTTGTACAGTCAAGCTGAATGTACTTATTGGTCACTGCTTACAATACTAATACAAGCCCTTTTGTTAAGGAGAGACATTCGAGGGGGGTGGTGAGGGGTCTCAGCATGTAAGGGCCTTTGCCTCTGAGCCTGACGAACTGGGTTTGATGGATGCCTGGTCCTCCCACGGGGGAAGGAGAGAATCAGTCTTCACAGTTTTCCTCTGACACACACACACACACACACACACACACACACACACACACACACACACACACGGAATTTATAAATTACAAACTAAAGGGGAGATATTCAAGCACCCGTAGAGATCATTTCCATGGATATCTGGTATGCCCCAGTAACAAATGTGTCTGGAAACAGCAAATGTGCCTTGGGTCACCATATTGATTATATCTTCTTTCAATACAGTTGCTAAAGCTCAAGCAATCATTTACTGCACGTGTTCTGTTTACGCTGAAGAAAATGAAGCTGTTGTTAAGAAAGCACTGGAATGTCAAAACCAAGGGATTAAAATACAACCTTACAGGTAAGGAAAGGACACTAAACCACTATCAAGCAAAGACTTGAAAACCACAAGTATGATTTTTAGAGTTATATAAATATATTGTACTTTCATTAGAATTTAATATGATGAAACAGCCTAAATTCATACAGCTCTTCAGTGGATTCTACGGCACTTTTGAATGAACACTTTAATAGTTTTACATGTATTTTGTGTGCGGTGTGTGTGTGTGTGTGTGTGTGTACAAGCAGATGTTGACGGGTGACTTGAAGGAGTCACTTCTCCCACCATGTGGGTCTCAGGGATCAAGCTTAGGCCACTAGGCTTGGCAGCTAGTACTTTTACCCACCAAGCTGTAACACTAGTTCATGAGTTGCATTGTTTTTGTTAATGGTAAAGCTAAAGGCATTTGATTTTGGCTTGGCTGATTCCTGAATAAACTGAACGCAAAGTTCATGTCCTTCTTAGATACATGTATTATTCCACAGAGGAAAAATAAGTATACAAATTATTTATTGAAAGTAGACAAACTGGATGCTTATTATCTTTAGCACTTTTGGTATTTTGTACCCACTGGGAAACTGGTACAATTGATGTGGATATCAATGGCAGCTCCCAGATAAAATATAGCAGCAGAGTTGGGAGAGACAGAGAGCATCAATACTAAACCCTGAGCTGTGATGGTTCTCATCTTAGTCTCCAGCCCTCGTAAGGCTGAGGCAGGAGTTGCCACAAGTCTGAAGCCAGCCTGGACTACATAGACCTATCTGAAAGTACCAATACTACAGGTATGGGGGTGTAACTCAGTGGTAGAGGGCTTACTCATATGCTTGGAGTTCTTGGTTTAATCTCCAGTACTGCTCAAACAAATAAACACCAAGTAAAACAAAATATACACACCATGCCCTGTGCATATCAAGAACTCTTAGGAATAAAATTTTCAAGATTAATTGGTTTTCAAGACTGTGGCAATGAAATAAACATCTATCTTCATGTTGTGATTTCTCCTTCAGAATCTTAATGTGTATATAGGTCTGCTCTGACCTCCTAATTTGATATTTCCCCATTTTTCATTTCACAAGCTGACAAGTTAATCACACCAACATTTCCTCTCTTTCTGATTTTCCTTTCTTATTTAGATGTTTCTGTTGATAGATGTCCTAGTAAGAGTTTCTGTTGTTATGAAGAAACACCATAACAAAAAACAAGTTGGGGAGGAAAGGGTTTATCTGACTTATACGTCCACATCATAGTCCATCATTGAAGGAAGTCAGGCCTGAAACCAGGAGCAGAGGCCATGGAGGGTGCTGCTTACTGGCTTGCTCATTGTGGCTTGTTCAGCCTGCTTTCTTATAGAACCCAAGTGTGGCAATATTTGTACCCAAGACCACCAGGCCAGCGATAGCCCCACCCACAGTGGGCTGGGCCCTCCCCCACCAATCACTAATTGAGAAAATGCCCTACACTGGATCTTATGGAGGCATTTTCTTTCTCATTTGAAGTTCCCTCCTTCCAGATGATTCCAGCTCACATCAAGTTGACATAAAAGTAGACAGCACAATTGACCTCTTGTCAAGTTGACACACAGACACATCACTATTAGGCCATAACCTTTCCTTTCTTAGTTCTCCCTGAGATCACATGTGAATGCCAACATAACAATATAAACATTTCAAACTTTAAAAGTTCCACAGTTATGAATAACTTAAAAAGAAGTCATCCTCTTTAAAATATTCAAGCTCTTTTCAAATCCAAAGTCTTCATAAAATTCCAAAATCTCGTTAAAAGTTCAAGTCTCTCAACTGTTAAATTAAACAATTTCTCACTTCAAGAGGGAACAACCAGGGTACTATCTGAAGAAGGAAAAACCAAACTCCAAGTCAGTGTCCAGTACTTACATCTTCTGGGCTCCTCCCAAGGGGCGTGGGTCTCTTCTCTTGCTGAACCCTCTGCCTGTGGCACACAGTGTGTCTTCTCTGGCTCAGCCCTCTGCGGCACACAGCGTTGTCTTCTAAACTCCACTGCTGTCACTTCCAGGCCCATTGTCCCATGGCACTGGTGTCTCTAAAATGTTGGGGTCTTCTGCTGAAACTGGGCTGCATTTTGACCATTAGACTCTCCTGCGCTCTCTCCATGGCTCCAAGCCTCATCTTCTCTACGTGCGGCCTTCAATCCTGGGCCTTCAACTGCTACTTAGGCTGCACCTTCACCGACGGCCTCTCCTGGCCTCTCACGGTGTCAATCCCCAGCTGCTCTCCATGACCCTCGGTGCCTTCAAAATCAGCACCACGTGGTGACTCTTACACTACCAAGTTCAGCTGCCGGAGTGAGGTACAGCCTTGGCTGCCTCTGGAACACAGCTTCTGTGTGCTGACTCTCAGGAAATAACTCCAGAAGTTTTCACCTCTTCTTAATCGCCTGTTTTCTCAGCTCCAGCTAGCCGGCATCAATTAACCCAGTAACGCAAAGGTTTCACATTAGTGGCACTGGTTTCTTGTTAACCACAGCTAACTAACTCTTCAGCCTTGGATGACCAGAACCACGGAATTTTTAATAAAATGCTAAATATGCAAGTGTCCCGAAAGTCTTAAGTAGTTCTCAAATTTCCCCTGGAACATCATAAGCCAGGCCTTCATTGTCTGTATTTCTCTCAGTGCTCGTTTCTTCCAGGCTTCTACAGAACAGCTCATCAAAGCTTTGAACACTTGGTAGGCACTCTACAATCCTCCCCCAAAACACACAGTCAGCTCTGCTGCAGCAATACCCCATTATCTTGGTACCAATTTCTGGCCTAGTTAGGGTTTCTATTGCTGTGCTGAAAACACCATGACCAGAAACAATCTGGGGAGGAAAAGGTTTATCTGACTTACACACTTCCACATCATAGTCCATCAACGAAGGAAGTCAGGACAGGAACTCAAAAAGGGCAGGGACCAGGCGTTAGGAGCTGATGCAGGTCATGGAGGGGTGCTGCTTTCTTATAGAACACAGGACCAGGAGCCCAGGGATGGCACCATCCACAATGGGCTGGACCTTCCTCCATCAATCATCATTAAGAAAATGCATTACAGTTGGATCTTATGGAAGCATTTTCTTTCTCAACTGAAGTTCCCTTTCAGATGACTCTAGCTTGTGTCAAATTGATATAAAACTAGCCAGCACAGTAGTTGGCAGTCAATCACATGTCCTGAGAGTCCGTGTCATAGTAGCTAAATTACCATCTATTGACAAAGAGCTGCTGTTATGGCAAGGATATAACCAAATCAGTGATTGTATACGTATGGTTCCTGATTTATTAAGGGTAAGAGTTTTGAGAATATACTATGGCAAAAGCCAAGTGATATTTGCTTTATGCTCCTGTAAGCCACTATTAATTTATAATATAAGATACAACTTATATTTAAAGACAGAGACAGTAATTCACATTCTAGAATGGTTTGAGATTTAAGCTCCAGTTGGAAAGCATGTATTGAAGAAGTTTGTAACTACTTACAGATGCAGTCAAAAGTAACTATGCTTTGACTTAGGAAGATATACTACATGGTTTGTAGTCATTTATTTTTTAAAACAACACTTACTTATTGTGTGTGTGTGTGTGTGTATGTATGTATGTTTATACATGTGCCACAGTGTGCATGCAGAGGTCCAAAGACAACTTGCAGGAGATGGTTATCTCCTTCTATCATGTGGGTCCTGGGTATCAAACTCAGGTCATTAGGTCATTAGGCTAGGTGGCAGGCACCCTTAACTTCTGAGCAATTTAACTAACCTAAGAACCATTTCTTAATACCCCAATGTGTGGTGATATATTATTTATGACTTATTAAAGCTTGCCTGAGGATTCAGAAAGCAAAGTCAGCCTCAAGCTATAGAGATCAGGCAGTAGTGATACACACCTTTAATCCCAGCAGCCACAAGCTAGTAGGTGGTGGTACACACCTTTAATCCTAGGATTTAGGACTAAGAGATAGATCGATCTCTGTGAGTTCAAGGCCATCCAGATCTACACAAGATTGATCCAGTCCTAAAGAGAAATGACTCACACAAAGATGATCTCAGCACCTGGGATCACATGCCTTTAATCCCAGCAGCAGGGCAGTATGAAAGATAGGAGCAGGGTTTTCAACAGTCAGTATCAGGCATTTCCATTATCCAGCATCATTGAGGATAGGAAGGCATTGAAGTCTCAGGATTCTCCAGCCGCGCTGAGGACAGGCAGCAGGATCAGTCCTTTCAGCCTGAGGTAGTGATAAGAGCTAGTGGCCAGTTACTTTGCTTTTCTAATCCTCAGCTCAAAACTTGAACGCCAATATCAGTCTCTGGGTGTTTTATTTTTTTGTGTTAACACAAATGTGGTGGATTTAGCATGGAATTGAATATCACATGCCATCTAATCCAGTCACCCACCTATTGCTTGTATTTCCTTTTACTAGTTCTAAAATATGTAGCTCATTTTGGACTTGAGCTATTATGATGTTAACTACAGGCCTATATAAATGCTTTACTTATTAAAATCTCGTGTGTAGTTGGGGAGATTGCTCAATGGGTAAAGAGAATGGTGTACAAGCATAAGGAACTGAGTTTGGATCCTCAACATCCTTGTAAAGAGACTTACATAGCTGCACATGCTCACAATTCCAGCATAGGCGTGGTGGGTAAGAAGACAAGATAGAGACAGGAAGAGTTCAGTCTAGCCAACCAGTGAACTCCCAGTTCAGTGAGAAGCTGTCTTTCAAAAGAGTAAGGTGGAGAACAATAGGGGGCCAATGTCTATCTCTGACCTCCACAGATGCACATTTGGACACACCCCTCACCCCGGTAAATGCACAAACATGTGCACACACCAATCTCATGTGTTAGAAGTGTTAACCTACAAAGATGTCTTAGGGCTGGAGAACTGGTTCTGTATTTAGGCCCAAGCTCAGTTCCCAGCATCCACATAGTGGCTCACAACTGAGTTTATCCCCAGAGGACTCAACACCTGATTTTCATGGATGCTTGAATGAATATGGTGCACATACTAATACTCAGGCATTTACACATAAAACAAACGAACACTTCTGGAAGAACTTCTTAGATATAACCATTTTTTAAAGTTTGATTTATAGTGTACATTTTCTAGCACAAAATAATGTACATAGTTTAAATTCTAATTGCCATTGCCAAGTTATCCAACAAAATAATCGCTTAGAATTTTATTTATTTTATGTATATGAGGGTTCACTTGCATGTGTGTATGTGTATCTTATGTGTGCCTGGTGCCTGCACAGGCCAGAAGAGGCCCAGATCCTCTGGAACTGGTGTTGTGGGTGGTCGTGAGCTGATATATGGGTCCTGGGAACATAATCCAGGTCCCCTTCAAGAGTAGCCAACGCTCTTACATGCTAAGCCATCTCTCCGGTCCCCCAAATAGTCATGCTTACAAATCTGTTTCCTGTGGCTTTATAAATGCTGTATTTTATTAGACTTGCATCTTTACTAGTCTAAAGGGTGAGAAGACTCACTTTCCTTGTTGATCACACACTCGTGTTTGCCAATTTCTGAGGTTCCGCATGCTCCCAGTTTATTACTGAGCAGCATAGTGTGGAGAGTAAAGAATGGGATTCTAGAAACCTTGAAACATTTTAAAAAACAAATACACATTATAATTTTTTAATAGCTCTAAAGTTGATATCTAACATTTTTCATTGTAAATTTAGATTGCTATATATTTTCCCAGAATATTTATTATTCCTAAAATATTATATATAGGTTTGAAATATGTTCCTCTAAGTAACAAAAAATTATTAAATATTTAGACTTACAGTAAGCTTTGTCATTTAATCTAAGGAAAAATATTAAATTCATTACTTGTTTTATAAAACTAGCTTTTGCCAAATGGTGTGCACCTTTAACCCCAGCACTTGGGAAGCAGAGGCAGGTGGATCTCAGTGGGGCCAGCCTGGTCTACAAAGCAAGTTCCAGGACAGCCAGGACTGTTACACAGAGAAATACTGTCTCAAAAAAACAAAAAACAAATAAACTAGCTTTCATTTTCAAGATCAAATTTACCTTAGCAAAGAAGTCTTATTTTATTCTTTGATTCAAATGAACATGTTAATATGATTTTGTTACTTATAAATTTCAAGCTAAGGTACATAGAAATACAGATTAAAATGAATAGAAGAAGTGACAAGAATAAAATGAATAAAAGAAACCCTTTCTTTAGGGAGTAGTTGACAAAAACTAAAGATATCTCTGCTAGAACTCCACTCATCACCAGGCAGTCAGTGAGCAGCAAACACACTCAAGCTCTCTAACAGAAAAGGGGAAATAAATGTACCTGACTGGAACAACACATCTCCTCACATGCACCCAACATTTTTGAAGCTGTGGGGAATACTCTTATGAAAGTGGATAAATTGGTGAATGTTTTACAATACCAACTGGAGAGGGAAGTAGAGAGGAGGAAGAATGGTCTGTAATTCAAGAGCAGAGCTTCACAGAATCTGACACCCTTTTAACAATCCTTTCCTTGGGCTGGAGAGACAGCTCAGTGAATAAGCAGGCTTGGTGTGCAGCCATGAGCAGCAGAATTAAGAGATCCCAGTATCTGTAATCCCAGCACCAAGGAAGTTGGGACAGGATGATCTCTAGCTCAACAACAGCCTGGGCTATATTGTGTCTTAGTTAGGGTTTCTGTTGCTGCAGCAAAACACTGTGACCAAACAACAAGTTGGGGAGGAAAGAGTTTGTTTGGCTTATACTTCCACATTGCTGTTCATGAAGGAAATCAGGAACTCAAATAGGGCAGGATCTTGGATACTGAAGATGATGCAGAGGCCATGGAGGAGTGCTACTTACTGCTTGCTCCACATGGCTTGCTCAGCCTGCCTTCTTATAGAACCTAGAGCCACCAGTCCAGGGATGACACCACCCTTTGGGGATGGGTCCTCCCCCATTGGTCACTAATTGAGAAAATGCCCTGCAGCTGGATCTCATGGAGGCATTTCCTTAACTGAGGTTCCTTCATCTCTGATGACTCTAGCTTGTGTCAAACAAAACCAGCTAGTACATAGAGTGAGACCTTGTCACAGCAAACAAACATGCTTACCCAAATTGGCTTTGGTATGAGAAAAGTCACATTCTTGAGCTGTTCCTAGAGATTTTAATCTTGTACTAAACAAGATAGGTGACAGTTAAGTGAGAAAGGGCATTGTGAGTGGAGACAAGGGAAATTTGGATATAATACAGAATTACTGTTATTGTTTACTTCAGTGGGTCTTTGTTGGGATTGAACATATTTAATATATGAACAGTACTTGACCCAAAGATGTTGCATATTTTATCACACTGTATGAAGATGTATTGCTGTTTTACTCTGCTTGCCTAAGGCATCTGGTTGGTTTAATAAAAAACTGAATGGCCAATAGATAGGCAGGAGAGGTTAGGTGGGACTTCTGGGCAGAGAGAGGAACTCAAGGGGATGAAGTTAGGGCATGAGAAATGCCAGTGAGACACTGAGAAAGTTGGACATGCAGAATGGAGGAGAGGTTAAAAAAAATTTGGCAGAACATAGATTGATAGAAATAGGCTCATTTAAGTTATAAGAACTAGTTGGGAAGAAGCTGAAGCTAAAGGCAAGATTTCATAAGTCTCTGTGTCATTATTTGGGGGGCTGGTAGTCCCAAAGAAAGTCCAGCTACACAAAGAAATGCTTGCTGAACACAGTGTGATTTTCAGGTTGTTGGTGCTCTTCCTTGTTCTCTGCTCTGTTCATCCTCATCACTGTCTTAGAAACTACTTGCTCTTCAGGATCCAGCTTCGGCGCCCCACTTCTATGAAGGTGCTCTCTTTGCATTCTCCCGTGGTTACTGTTAGCTGCACCTTAACTCTATCCTCCCATATGATATCTCTACTTGTCTTGGCATTCATTCCTGGTCTTATTTATATTATTGCAAGTTGATTTGTTTTCCTAATGTGTAAACTAAGTGA